TTGCAGATGCGTTGCCGACCCTTATCCGACGGAGGAGACGCACATAAAGAGGATATTTCCCCTTCCTATGCATCTACTCCACCGTCAAATCCACTTCCCCTTCCCATCCTCTCCTTATGAGAAAAGGGTGGTAAACAGAAAGGGACTTAAATTAGGCCTCCGGCACCACACTCATCAGACGAAACACGGAATTGCTTCCATTTCACGCCTGTCTTCTGTGTGGTCGTGGTATTACACCGGGCGTGCCGGTCCATTCGTGCTAAGATGTTAAAGCGGGCACTACCACTGTTAAAGGGCACATGCGTGGATTTATTATTTTATATTCTTGTTTGAATTTTACTTTACTTGATATAAATATTCTCTTTCATACAATAAGCCAGGCTTAAAAGGCTTTATAAATCAGGTTATTACCTTAAATGTAGATCCATTTCGCGAAAGAACCGACCATTTTGTTTTTATTAATTAAGTTTTCTACGAAAATTTTATATTCAAATCCCTTTTGTACTGCGAAAAGATTTTCCTTTTAAATATAATGTAATATTTATCTGCGTACTCAAGGAGGTTTTATTGTTAACTATTTTTAATGATTTCTTATAATTAAATTGTAATTGCTTCCCTTAGTATCCAATTAAAGGCTTTGTAGGAACGATTAATTAAATTTTGTAATCATTTTAAATGAAGTCTTTCTAAAAATCATGTTTTGTTACTGATTTTGTATTTCTTCAAACTGAAGCTTGTTAAAAATTTTCCGTACAACATTTAGTATTCTTCATGCTTAAAATAAAATTTATTTGTTCCTATTTTGAATAATGCTGTGTCATAGGAGATGTCTGTTCTAATTTCCATAGCTTAGGGATGTGATCACTTGGCGTGCTGCCAGTGGAAACAGCTGCTATTTAAAAGTATAAAATCGGCATAAAGCATGTAGTGACGGTGATGCTTGACCTAAGATCGTGAAGACACCTCTTCTTTTTGCTTTACAAATTCTTCTATAGTTAATAACATTTATTGTAATCGATATGTCGATGCAACTAGTGAACCGATATCTTAGCGAGCGTACACCTTTGACTAAACTATCGCACAACTGTTGTGTGATTGTCGATTGTTTCGCAGCCTCAACTGTTTGCACAACTAAAAATCGTGTGCGCACCTCCTTATAAACTAATAGGAATCAAAGCGAGACAAAATAGTTGTGCGATAGTTTAGTTTCAGGTGTGTTCACACTCTTCTTATTAAACTTACTTTATTTTAAAGTAAAGATAATATTAGTTGATGTAAATAAGTTACGTTCTACGCCGTAGACGTCTACGAGTTTGGGCTACGCTGTAGCTCCAAGTGTAGTACGAAACTATGTAAATTAAAAATTCCTTTTATGGTTGAATAAAACCAAAGTTAAAAAATTACTCCTTTTATTAATTACAAATATAACAATACATTAACATAGTTTCCTATTTGGTATTTATTTACAAGAAGTGGTAATTTATTTTTTACGTGAAAATAATATTTCTTTGAAAAAGCATACACTAACAAACCAAGAAAAAATTAAAACTCAAATTTTTTCATAAGAAAAACTGCTTAAAAACAAAAAAATGAAATCTAAATGCATAATTGTATGATTTTTTACGTAATAATTATTAAAAAAAAACAATGTTTTTTTTATAATACGTAAAGGTGACAAAAAAACAACATTTAATTACAACTACGCATTTTAAGTTATTATTCATTTTTCATGAATAAAATACAATGTTTTATTTAAAAATGACGTCACCTGCATCATGAAAACACAACCAAAAACACACAAAATTCATTACAATTAGTTTAAGATTTCTTAACACAAATTCAATTGACAATTTTTATAAAAGTTATCAGAAATATTCTGTGTACATAAAGTAAGAAAATCTTTATAACCAATAATTTAAAACTATCCAATAATTTAATTCAAATATTACAAAGATAAATCCATATTTTAATTACACAAATAACATGTTTATAAAACAAAAGCTAATCAAACATTTTTATACAAATTTATAAACAATTGCAAGATACAAAATTAAATTTAAATGTAAAATTGTGCTTACGAAAAAACGTTCAGTGATTTTCAGATAATTTTCTTATAAAATCTCTTAAGTTTATAAACAATAGAACAACCTTTATGAGTTGATATAAACTTTCAAGAAGTAAATTAAAAAATAAATAATAAACTATATTTTAAGAGTAACTAGACACAAATATTTAAGATAAAGAAACATAGAAAGCATAACCTTTCAATGTTGTACACTTAAAAGTTTATAAAAATCCTGTCAATAAAAAACACTATTATTATTATAAAATTTCAATATTATATATTCACATTTATTCGTACAAATTTTATTATTAAAAATCACCATTACAAAATGAATTCACCAGCGATTTTATTAAAATATAATTATTAAAACTCTACATTAAAAAAAAAACAATTTTATTATCTATCTTATCACATGTCTATTAAATTGGGGATTTTTATCTAGGTACTTCAATATCCGCTTTAACTAATATAGTTTTAGTCAATCTTCTTGGCTCTTCGTCTATGCCGTAGAAATAAACACTTCTGTGCGGAAACACTTTAGTCTTTGACTCTACAGAAGAACCTAAGTTTCTCGGTAAAGTTTTCGATTTACTGCATTTTAAATCACTTTTTAAACAATATTCATATTTTGGTCCTTCAAGAAAATGTTGGCTATAATATCCTTCGTAAGTATCAAAATTTCTACAGTAATCTGTACACACGTATGGTTGATAGGAACCCTCAGGACATGTCCTAGGTTCTTTGGGGTGTGGCCAGCAGTCTGGCGGTGTTGGGGCCCACGGTGGGGGCCCCAAATGTCAGTCTCAGCGAATCGGTTTGGAGACTATTATGACGTCAGGGGCAGAACGTGTGGTTTCCGCACTTATCGGACGTCGATCGGAAATCTTCTTAACTGAGAATACAAGAATGAAAAAATTAATAATAGTAAGTGCGCGCCTTTGACTAAAGTATCGCACAACCGTTGTGCGATTGTCGATTGTTTCGCAGCCTTCAACTGTTAATTTGCACAACTAAAAATCGAGTAGTGTGAACCTTCATATAACCTCATAGGAATCAAAGCGAGATAAAACTGTTGTACGATATTTTAGTCTAAGGTGTGCGCGCTTTTAAAAAATAGATCACATATCTTCCATTTTTAAACGAAACAAAACTCGAAATACAAAGATATTTCAATTCTTATTTCAATCCATTGCACCAACACGCATTGTATTAACAAAAAAGTACTAGGGCCTGCTTAGAGAATTAGTCAGAATAGGTAATGTCATGTATCAAAATATTTAAAACACCTCACACTTTATTATCTATATCTATACTATTATAATAAAGCGTAAACACACACTTCTTTGTTGCCTAAGATCTAAGCAATTACAGCATATTTTTGAATAATCCTCTCTTAAATAAAAAGCCCTACACTTACGTCACGCTTTAGGCTATACATTTTCACGCCATTAAACAAGGAAGCAAAATTGCCATGCTTTGTCGTCATGTCATGTCTGTCATTTTGACCTTTGTAATTCAATTTGACAAATGTAATCAAAAACAATTTTCATAATTTCATACGTATGAAGTCGCACTGGAACAGCTAGTCTAATTATAATTCATAACTTAGATGTCACTTACGTTGTTTAGAATCCTGTTTCTGTGGCATTTGCTTGAGAAGTTCTATAGTGATTTGTGATGTGTTCGTTTGTGTCGGCGGAGAGGATGGCCGCACTATCGTAGCACCTGAGTAACCGAAGGTCGAGAAACCTCTACTGTTCGTTGTACCTGAACCTAACAACAAATATAGTTATAAAATAAGAACGGGTCACAAATATTACCAATTTTATTTAAAACCATGATTCAAAATTCTAAGAGGAAGATTAACATGAATCTTTAGTTGAAACAATCTACTTCTGTTCTAAATGTCATCTAAATCCTTTCAGCTGTTCTGGAATTACGTGACAATAAACATCCTTACTATCTATACAATTTGCATTTAAAATATAACTTTCGCCCACGACTCCGTCGGCGTAGAATTTAAAAAAGGTATGTAGCCTATGTGTTCTACCAAACTATACTCTACGTCTATGATAAATTGTATAAAGATCCATTCAGCAGTTTAGGCTACAAACTCTAATAAACATCCATCTAAACTTTCACATTACTAATATTGTAAATTCAAAAATTCGGATGGATGTTTGTTAGTTTGTAGCCTAAACTGCTAAACGGATCTCTATGAAATTTGGTATAAATGTAGAGGATAGTCTGGAAGATAAAGACCACTTACTTTTAATTCCACGCGGACAGAGTCACGGGTGAAAGCTAGTAAGATATATGGACTAGTAATACTAAGATTTACATACCGTCCGAGCTAGGAGGAGCGTCCTGGAATAAACTCTCTCTCGTCTGACATCCTGATTCCTTTGTGTCCGGCGCACCGACGGACACATCTCGAATCTCTTTCCTCTCTTCACTCTCTCTTGTTCTACTCCTAATTGACTCTTCTTTTCTACTCAGATCACTCCTCCTCGATCTACCATTACGTTCTATATGCACATCTTCTGTTTGTATTGGTACGTTAGGCACATCTTTACGCCAGATCTCTTCATCCATGTCTAAATGTGTTTCTTGTACAAAATCCGATTCGATACTACTTTGCTGAAAGAGTTACAAAGTTATAGAATAAATTATGATAATATAAATAGTTGAGTGAATTAAGGACAAGTGAAGTTTAAGGCAGTTTTTACAAGTTTCCTAAAGACGTGTGATTTACGAGTATGTACATAAAAGTAAGTACTTCACAAGAAAAAAATAGACAAGAAAAGCCAAATACAAAAGAAACGGAAATTAAGAAGAAAAATGTAAAAGTAAACTAGAGTAATAAATATATTAGAAGCCTTTGGCGACTGGCAAACAGATAGTTGTGAAGAAAAAATGTGTAACTCTGTATTTATAGTTCTAAGTTATTTGTAAGCTATTTCATCTAAAAGTAATATTTAAAACAGGAAATCTTAAATAGCTGTAATTTAATAATTAAAGCGTCAATAGCCCATTGTTTTGGGGCACGGACTACCGATGTTGCGGTCAAAGGTTCGAGTCCCACCATTCGACTATCGTGAACCATATCCTAGCACAAGCCTTAGCCTAGTCGGAATGGTTAAAGAAAATATTAGTAAATTAAAATAAATGTCTGTAATAATACTTTTTAAAGTTATACTTAATATTGTTAAGCTTACCTTACGTTGAGAATATTTCCGTTGTTTCTTATACATTTCATTAGTATGGTTTTCCCTTTCCAGACTAGCTCGTGGTTGGCTGTCTCTTTGTAGACGTTTAGCGTCGAGCGTCAGTCGACTGCTGACTAAACTGTCCAATCTATCCTCGCAAGATTGTCTGATATGTTCCTAGAGTGAGAAATATTATTGAGACGAATATCGCACAACTGTTTATGTCTATGAGCTTACAGGAAGGTGAGCACACTACTCGATTTTTAGTTATGCAACTGAACAGTTGAATTGGCTGCAAAACAATCGACTCGTATAACAGTTGTGCGATAGTTTAGTTAGCAGTGTGCACCCGCTCTTAAAATACAAATATGTCTACTTTATAGTTTAAAAAAATGTACGCTAATCTCGTTAGGGTAGTTTGATTTTTTCCAACAATAGATGGCGCTGTTTTTCATCGATTTTTTGTCAATTCTTTTGTCTCTATTTGTCCGTTCTTTTGGAAAACTTTTTGACGTACGTAAATTTTGTATAAAACTGTTTTTCAAAAGCTATAAAATAGTTTGTGTGTTTGCTTACCTTAATTATTTTATGGTCTTGATACAATTTTCTTATACATTTGAATATAAATACAAAACTCATTCCTGATAATATCAAAGAAAATATTACAAGAATAACTATTATATGTAATTTGCTAATCATTGATTCAGTCGTGTGCTGGAAAAAAGAATAAATATAAAGTATTTCAGGTTTTATCGCTTTTGGAAATCTTTAATTAAATAAACCCCTTTGATTTTAATCAGGTTACATTTTGATAAGACAAATTGCTATTATGTTTTGACAGGAGTGCAATTGCACTGAAGCAAGTGGGACAAACGTCGTGATTGTTGTTATTTAGCAATATTTAAACGAAAGTCTGTCCGACTTTGCTTGTTTATAAAGATGAAACAAAGGCGATGAAATTGTATGTTTCTTTTACCTTACAGTTTTCCTCGTCCGCTTTCAATCTGCAGTGAGCGTAATCGTCGCACTCTAGGCCCGCGTTTATACACGTATTGTCGCCGCAATGGAATTCTGTAGCGCTGCATTTCTCTAAGAGTGAAAGAGATAAAAGATGAATATAGGTTGCAACATGTTTTTCGATTTAATTCAACTTTCTCAATAATTTTAATGTTTGAGAAAGAAATAGTTGAAGACCTCTTTATCATTTTCATAGTAATTTAAAATAAGGCTCAGTAACTAATTATGATTTTTTAATTTAGAGATAGATTATTTTGGTCTATAAATCCACATAAAATCTTATTTTATTTTTGAGAAATAACTTTCAATGTAACAAATAGGAATAAATGAAAGTCATTTACCATCTCTATTCGGATCTAGGCTTCTAAACGCTGTGTATCTCGCACTAAAATCTGAGTTCTTCCCTGAACTAGTTGCGTACAAACGAACATGCATTATATTCCCTTTTTCATTTCCCTCTGTATCTTTAGTTGTTACTGGATTCGCTATTGAACCACAATAATACGCCAATCTGTAAACATAATAAAATGTAAATACGAATATATGTAACTTTCATTTTTTTAACGTTTTCAAAATAATTTCTAACCTGTATTTCTCTTCAGTTTTATGTCCGAAAACTTGCACCGCATTTTGTTCACATTCGTTAGGTTTATTTAAATTGTATCCCGTAAAGTTAAGATATATCTGAAAAATAGAACAGTTTTTAACAAATAACAATAAATGGAAGTAAATAGAATTAAATGTAAACGAAATGTAACCTTAGTATTTTCGTCAGTTTCAATCCTCCATAATACATCTAATGGATGGCCCTCGCTTCCTCGTTTGCAATTTTCATCGATACTTGTCGTATTAACATAGCCTTCTGGACCCGTCAAGTTTTTAAAACAGCTATCCGGTATTTTATCTTAAACATAAAGTATTTTACAACTAATTTATGAAGAATGCGACTCCGTCCGCGTTAAAAACAAAAATCAGTAGCCTATGTGTTCTCTCAGACAATCTACATCTGTGCCTTTCTTTGATATCCGTTTAGCTGTTTATGCTATAGACTCTAACAAACACCCATCCATCCATATTAAATTTCGCATTTATAATATTAGTAAGAAGTATCTGCTCTGATTAATAAAGTGTTAGTTGAAGTCGACCGAGATAGACTTAACCTGGTATGAGCGTACCGTTGCCCTCTGTGGTTATCTGCTAATATTTTAGATGCAAGAGTTTAGAATTTGTAGCCTAAACTGCTCAACGGATCCGGATGAAATTTGGCATAGATGTAGAGGATAATCTGGAAGAACACATAGGTTACTTACTTTTGCTTCATGTTGTCATATCGTGTCTCGTTTGTCCCTTCAAATATAAGAAAGATACAAGATACTCACGACTATTGCTAGGCGATTGTATAATGTCTACAGTTATATGGAAACCTTCGTATTCTATCGTCCCGTCGGAGTGAAACTTTAGCCAGGCGAAGGGTCCCGTTGTGGTAATTTGTGGAGGGAAGTTCTCGCCGCAAAACTTTCCTAGAGTATTTGAATATCCTTTCTCACCGTCTCGTATCTGAAGAATATTTAATAATTTATAATTACAGTTGTAGTAAACTTAAATAGAGAAAATTAATGGCTTGAAAGATGCCATGATCAAGAAGGTGTAAGATGACGGATAATAGTTATTTGGAGGATGAAATCAAGGTGCGCCGACTACGAGAGTAGGATAAAGGGGGAGATGAAGGTAAGTATAAATTTAAAATTATTAAAAACTAGCTGTTCGTGTGCGGCTTCATCCACATAAAATTATATTTTTGTATTTATTGTTTACATTTGTCAAATTGTCAAATGTCAAAATTGCAAATGTCAAAATGACATGACATGCTTTCTTGATGTTGGCAGCAACTAATGGTCTCTTTCCCACAATAAGGTTTTTATCCAACATATTTACCACCTAAGTTTAATGGCGTGAAAATATATAGCCTAAAGTGTGTCGTAAGTGTAGGGCTTTTTATTAAAAAAATTATTCAAAAATATGCTGTAATTGCTGACATCTTAGGCAACAAAGAAGTGTGTGTTTACGCTTTATTATAATAGTATAGATATAGATTTAGTAATAACTTACTTCTAAAAAGTCATAAGCACAGTCCGGGTGGTCTTCTATGTGAAAAATATCAACGAATGTTAATTTTATCACACTTCCTTCAGGCCCTGAAAAAAAAAAATATTTATCTAATATACATGATGTTGAATTTACCCCTTTACTTAGTTGGATGATACTAGATGGTATGACGATGGGGACATAAACCAGAATGTGTTAAGATTGAATGTGGATGGCTACAAAGGAAGAGGAAGACCGAATACAGTATGGTTGGATTGTGTGAAAGAGGATATGCTAAAGAAAGGAGTGGATTCAGATATGGCGGCTGATAGAGATGTATGGAAGAGCAGCACATATTGTGCCGACCCTCCATAAGGGATAAGGGCAAGTTGATTATTATGACTTAGTTGGGTAATCTTTTTTATGTGTTTAGAGCTGGCGTACACCTTTGACTAAAATATCACACACGTGCGATTGTCAATTGTTTCGCAGCCAAATAAAACTCGAGTTTTTTTTGTGACTGAATGGCCACTGTTTTGCCTTGAAGAGGCATTTACAGATTCATCGGGCTTGAGGTGGCCGAGCGCATGGCGCTTAGCCTAAACTTCTTTTATGAGTAACTAAGCTCGAGGGCTCCCTCAGGAGCCTCGGCACGAGCCGTTCCTTCGTTATTATTACCGGATTAAGAGGCCACCGAGCTCTTAGATCGCTTCGGTGGACGCTCCATGGAGTGAATAGGCACAAGGGCCCCCGAGAGGGGACCTCGGCTTGGGCTGTCACTCAATACGCGTTTAGCATTCCGAATCAAGGGCGCCCGAGAGGGCCGAACCTCGACTTGATCAGTTGCTGCTATCTGATTAATGAAACTCGAGTAGTGTGCGGAGCTCCACATGAGCTCAAACAAGACTAAACCTTGTGCAATAGTTTTGTTTCTGGTGTGTGCACTCTTTAGTCACGCTTTTGTTTTATTTTTTATTAACATTGTACATTTGTAGTTACCTTCAATAGTGGTTGTACAATCTATATCACCGTAATATAGTTTGTTTGTATCATTTTTTGAATATGGATGACTTATTTGTGTCCTATCTTTTTGATAGTAGAAAGTTTCACATCGTTCTGAATCCTCTTCTCTCTTAAATCGTCTCCTTGGTCTTAGAATTTCTCTTAGAATTCTACTCCCTTCGTTCCTTCGTACAATATTTCGTTTATCACTTATATTATGTAATTTCTTTATATTAAATTTACTAAATATAAGATCGGCAGTGTATATATCGTCATTTCTATATGTTAAATTATTTCTAAGTTCTTCGATATTTTCATCAAAGCTTATATATCTATTATCTAGTTTCTTGGTCCTTAAAGTTTCCATTGTTAGATTCTTCATTATTACTTCTTTAACTAATGAATTAATGTTTTCTTGTTTTGTATTGTTGTCATGAACTGTTTGTAGCGACGTTAATCCGATGACGGAGAAAACTGGAACAAAAATATATATGTATTCTATCTAGCTCGCGGTTCACACTTAGCTATTACTGTTATTCAGTAGTGCTAATAACTGGACTGGAAATCAACTGACACAGTGAACGCTACCTGGCTAGTGTAACCATTTTATCTAAGACTAGCTGTTCCCGTGCGACTTCATCTGCATGAAATTATGAAAATTTTATTATATTATTTACATTTGTAAAATTATCAATTACAAATGTCAAAATGACATGACATGATGACAACCTTGCTTCCTTGATGTTGGCAGCAACTTATGGTCTCTTTCCCACATTAGGGTTTTTATCCAAAATTCCCCCTAAGTTTAAAAGCGTTAAAATATATAGCCTAAAGCGTGACGTAAGTGTAAGGCTTTTTATTAAAAAAATTGACATTCAAAAATATGGTGTAATTGCTGACATCTTAGGCAACAAAGAAATGTGTGTTTACGTTTTATTATAATAAGTATAGATATGAATTGGCAGTCGCAACTGTCCAACTTTACTGGCCAAATGAGAACCGCGATAAAGTCAAATACCTACGTATTTAATTTTATACTTTCTTCCGCGTATGATTTAAATATAAAAAAGTACATTCAATTAAATTCAATTTAAGACACTCCTAAGCAGCTACGAATTGTTTCTAAACCATTGAGATTTTACAACTTTTTAAACGTCCGATTGCTCTATTAAAAAAAAAAACATTTTACATAAGTCCAGTTGTAAGTACAGCAATAAATTGTACGTAAAAATTGTATGAAAAAAAGTACTTTTTTTTCGTAAATATAAACCAATTTTATGAAATTGGTTTATATTTACGAAAAAAAAAATCTCGTATGCGAGATAGAACTGTCGGATATTGAAATTCAATTTCACAGCTATCGGGCAAGCGGGGTTATTCAAACTAACGTAGCTAACGTCACCGTTGATTTGAGACCTGATTTAGTAAACATTTTGGGTCTTAAGTAAAAATTTAGACAGTGTTTTGAATATATTTTAGCTTAAACATATCTCAACACAAAACATACGACAAATTGTGATTAGATAGAACTGTACATATAATAAAATTGGAGTGTCTGTTTGTAATTAACCAAAAATTACAGATTTCGGGTAGTATACATCATATATTTGCGTTGCTGATGCCGAAAATCGCATTTAAAAATTGTTTGCCTGGACGTTTGTTTGTCCGCAAGCCGCGTTTATTCCGGGAATCTCCGAAACGGCTGGGCCGATTTCGTCCGAACTTTCACTGTAGGGCTGCTGACTGCTGACACAGACGGGCATATTATAGACTATTTTTTTATCTTAACATTTCGTGAACGAAGTAGCGGGCAACAGCTAGTTAGTGTTGCTGATATCCTAAGCGTCATGTGTGTTCTCGTTGTCAGTTTGTCCCCTTCTTTAAAATTAATTAAACCATTCAGTTTTAAATGTCAGAATTACTCGTATACACTATTAAATTCGCTAAGTTTTATCTGAAAAATAAAAATGGACAGAAAAAAAATGCGAGAAATGAGCGTCTATAGAGAGCAAAAAAGAGTGACGGCGGATAGAGATATGTGGAAGAGACTGTGCCGAAAATGTAGTTAAAAACATGATGATTACGTCATTGTTCTCGGTTGTTTGAAACGCGAATGTAAGTCATGAATAATTATAAAACCACCTAAGACGAACGAAATTTAGGTCCTGTGAAAATAAGTGAAGCAAAGTTTACGTAAATTTGACGACGAGCGATGAATAAATTAGCCAAAACCGCCTGCGCTCTCGGGGGCCCTGTTACAATCTACTTTTAATACAAGATAGTGTTAATGAGTATTTTTAATTAAAAACAAAGTTTATTACATAAAAAAAATAAAATTACTAATAACTTGTCTTAATTCTTCGAACAAATCAATCGAGTAAATATTTTCGAGGTGGAGTCGCGGGCGAAAGCTAGTACTTAAATAATATAAATAAAACATAATAAAAACAAAATTATTAAGTTAACTAGTATGTTTATTTTATTCGAAACGAGCTGCTGCCCTCGACTTCGTCCGCGTGGTATTCGAAAACATACAAACTATATACATTACAAAAAGCTAGGTATTCCTCGGGAACTGGACATTTCTCGGGGATGAAGCTTGTCCCATGTGTACTCCAGACTTTGTTTTATATCTGTGCCAAAATTCAATAAGATATGTTGAACCTTTGCAGAATGATCGAGTAAACACTAAATTAATGAATCCCACGGGAACCGTAACTATTCCCGGGATAAAAAGTAGCCTATGTGTTCTTCCAGACTATGCTCTAAACCTGTGCCAAATTTCATGGAGATCTGTTCAGCCGTTTAGGCTACAAACGCTAACAAACATCCATCCATCCATCCATCTATCCATCCATCCATCTAAACTTTCGCATTTATAATATTAGTAAGAAGTAAGAAAGTAAGAATAGTAAAAATCCTTATTACCTTTTATTCGGAAGAAATTTAAAACTAAAATTGTAACTAACTAATAGTAGATTTCAATAAAAAATTTACAATATTTATTGATGGCACAACTGAAAGGAAACATCGTTTGAAACTCCTCCTACATCTAGTATGGCATTATTCTGTAAAGGACATAATAAGGGTGGAGAAATCGGTTGAAGAATGATGTTCAAAAACAGTCTTATAATATTCATTTCTTTATTTCACTACCAGCTTTCACCTGCGTCTTTGTCAGCGTATTATTAATAAAAAACAAAAGCAAGTAGCCTAAGTACTCCTCCAGACTATATTTTACATCAGTGTCAAATTTCATTCAGATCTATTTAGACGTAAACTCTAACATCTATCGATCCATCTAAACTTTCGCATTAATAATATTAGCAGGAAGAACTATATCCTTAAAACTACGCAACGGATTTTTTCAAATAGACAGAGTAATTCAAGAGGAAGGTTTACTTGTGTACACGTATAATATAGTGCTGAAATATATACGAGTAATTTGAGATGTTTCTAATGTGATGTAAATACATTTTCGTAGCAGCATTGGACGTGTGGAGCCATAGCAAGTCGCTAGTGTAGTATAAGACTAGTTTTTGCCTGCGTGAAATTAAAAAAAATAATATGAAACATAGCCTATGTTACACTGACAACGTAGCTTTTTATTGGTGAAAGAATTTTTGAAATCGGCTCAATAGTTTTTGAGTTATTTCATTACAATAAAAGTTTTCCTCTTTATAATATTAGTATGATAGATCTAGATGGATTACAATAGTAAATTGTTGGTTAAGTTTATTTTCTTACTAGCATAAGGTTCAATAATATAACATTTAAAGATAGTTCAAGAAGAACGTGGAAAAACAGACTGTTTTATATTTATCCGCATTAAATGAGACGGCCGCTTTCGTTGGCGTCGGGCCAAGTGTCACCGAATCGTTTCTTATTAAAATTAGGTTAGTCAGTTTACTCCGTGACCCTTTTTTATGAGCTATTTGAGGTAAAAATACTACAAAAATGTTGATTTATGATAGAAAGTATAGTCTATGTCCTCGTTGAATTAAAAAATGCCTATGAACTATTCTGGGTTTATGATCTAATCTATGGTCCAAATTTCGTTCAGAACCATCTTTCGGCCACATCTTCGATCTCAATAGGTAGTCAATCCTCACTCTCGTGGTTAAGCGATAGCTTAAAAACTAAAAAAAACCGTTCCGTCTTACTAGTTTCGTGATAACAAACATCTATCCAATAGTCTAGAAGAACGCATAGGCTTCTTCTTGAGGTATTTTTTTGGTTGAGTAAATTAAGTATAGGGCTATGGAAAGGAGTATGACAAATTCGAAACGACAAGAACGAGAAGACATCTTGTGCGAAATCGTTCAAATGAAATGGCGATGAACAGGCCACAAGCGTGACACAAGACAAATGGAGCAAGGTGGTGACCGAATGGTACCCGAGGGATGGAAAAAGGAGTCGCAGACGGCAACAAATAAGATGGGAGGACGACTTAAGGTTGACTGCCGGTCCACATTGGAGAAGAGTTACGCGAGATAGAAAACAGTGGAAGAGTTTGGAGGAGGCCTATGCCAAGAGGCACGCTGAAATTAGGGACATACTATAAGTCACTAGTAAATAATAAAGTTAACACCGAAAGGAGTATGGTAATACACATTTAAAACGTGTTTTACTAAACAGAGACTAAGTTTTTTGAGTGACAGATGTCTTGTAATCGTTTGTGTGATTGGATCTTTGATTGCTTTTACATGATTACTTATGAAATTCTTCATACCGAAACGGAAATTGTTCGAATTGGCGCAAGCGGGTAATGAAAATTCCATCTCAAATTCATCTAAAGGAAATTAGATTTTAATTGATCTATGTTTGGTATCTATCATATAATATTGGTATGTGAAAAGTTGTATGAAGTTTGCTGTTTTGACTTTTTGAACTAAGCAGGTAGTCCGATAATACTTATCAATTTTATATTACTAGTATAGATATAGATATAGCAATAGATAAAGATATCAGCACTGCATTCACATTTCAATTATTTTGTTTGTCCTGTTGACTACGTGATTATTATTTTTTTTTTTTTTAATTACATTGTTGTGTGTCTTTTTTCTCTTATTCCAAATTGTGTTGTAGTTGGTGATAAGATTAAATGTTATTTTATTTTATTTTTATTTTATGTTACTTACTCCCGTAGGGTCGGCGCACCGGGTTTTCGTCCTCCAAAGCACTCTATCATCAGTCATCTCAGTCAACACTCCCTTTTTGATTATGTCACCTTTCACGCAATCCAACCATCTCTTTTTATGTCTACCTCTACCGATGTACCCCTCCACATTCATAACTATAAACTATATAGATATGTGTCAAATACTGGGCCGATTTTAAAAATTCTTTCACCGTTAGAAAGATAATTTATCTTTGATTAACATAGGCTATATTTATTAATTTAACACGGGTGAAGCCGCGAGTAACAACTAGCAATAACATTCTTCTACTTTTATAAATGAGAAGGAAATAATTTAACTTTATTATAATACTCGCAACAGAGGTTCTGCTGAACATAAAATTAACGCTGTTTAGTTAAAATGGGTTCAAGATGTTTGTTAACCTACTTCTGACTTCGCTCAAGACGTAAGTACCGCTCTATTGTTGAATTTACAATGCTGCTATTAACTTGTTAACCGGACATTTGGGTTTTAATAAACTATTCTTTTTGGTTAAAGTTAAATGGTGTTGGAGAACGCAATTGTTGCATGAACAGTTCGTGACTGTTGAAATTCTGTGACCTAACAAAACAGGGAACAGTTGTCTGTTTTTTTATTTTTTCACAGCAAGATGTAATTTCTTAACATTCATAATTTAAAATCTATACTATTCTAATAAAGCGTAAACACACACTTCTTTGTTGACTAAGATGTCAGTAATTACAGCGTAATTAATGACGTCACGCTTTAGGCTATATATTTTCACGACATTAAACTTTGTGAGTAAATATTTTGGACAAAAACCCTAATGCGGGAAAGAAACCATAAGTTGCTGCCAACATAAAGGAAGCAAGATTGCTAAGGTTTGTCATGTCATGTCATTTTGACATTTGCTATTAACAATTTGACAAATGTAAACAATAAAATAAAATTTTCATAATTTCATGCGGATGAAGCCGCACGGGCACAGCAACAGCTAGTACTAGATATACTTGGTCAAAAATACGACTTTTGTATACTTACCGAGGAACAGAGAAAGCACAAGAAGTGCCGGCGATGTCATTGACCTGCCGGCCTAGAGGCCCCTTCGCCGGCATTCGTATTTGCCACACCATTAAGACAACTAACACATATCAAACGCCACTTTTTGAACCACTTCGAAAATCAAAATTCACTTGGGAATATAGTAAAATGCCATTTGGTTTTAGCAACACAACCTTCTGGAACTCCCTTAATCTTTGTCGGCATTAATACGGTTTTGCTCGGATTAATTGAATCTGTAACAAAAGAAGGATTATTAGATAAAACAAATGCTATCTATGACTAAACTAAAAATGTTATTGCAGAACTAAAAATCGAGTAGGCGCACCTCCATATAAAGTCACAGGAATCAAAGCGCGACCGAACAGTTGTGCGATAGTTTAGTGGAAGGTGTGCGCGTTATACTCGTAGTATCGCATTTGGATTCCTTAGGTAGTTTTTCTTTACCCAATTGCTTTTATCTATACCAATATTATAAAGAGGAAAGATTTGTATTTTTGTATGTATTGTAATAACTCAGTAACTACTGGGTCGATTTCAAAATTTCTTTCACCATTAGAAAGCTACGTTATCACAGAACAACACCGACGAATCCACGAGCAACAGCTAGTTTTCCGATAATCGTATAATACTACATCTATGAAAGAAGCACTGTCATTCATCTTCAAAGTACAACAGTTTGTGTTAAATATAAAAAGAATTTAAAACGAGTTGGGACATCAATGGTAAAGGCGTGGATGGCAACGCGCCAGAGCTTGTGGCATCGATTACTGTCGTCATAGAAGTTCTGCTTTTAAATGTCGTTTAACACAAACATAAGCTTACAAAGTACCTTTGTTTTGAGTTTTAATTAGGTGGTAAAGCAATAATTAATATCATGCTGGCCGCCAAGAAAGAATAAGAAAAAAAGTATTGTACTTAAAAAGAAAAAGAACAATATTTGAAATAAAGAGAAAAATGTGACGCTAGCAAACAACAACATTTTATTTTTATAAAAAAAAAAACATACAGACGAATTGAGTGCCTCCTTCTTTTGGGAAGTTCTCCCGGACTATCTTCTACATCTGTACCAATTTCTATCGAAATCCGTTCAGCAGTTTAGGCTACAAACTCTAACAAACATCAATCCATCTAAACTTTCGCATTTATGTTATTAGGATTGTAAACGGAGTAAAAGGTTAGCATGGTATGGGCATGTTATGAGGAGGGATGAATCGCATGTTACAAAGAGAACGTTAGTTATGAGTGTGGAAGGGTACATCGGTAGACCTAGAAAGAGATGGATGGGTTGTGTGAAACGTGACATGATCAAGAAGGGAGTGATGACTGAGATGACGTATGATAGAGTTATGTGGAGGACAAAAACCTGTTGCGCCGACCGTACGGGAGTAGGATAAGGGGATGATGATGATTAGAATGATTGTTTATATCGTTATGGTTTTTAAATATCTAAAGTAAAGTAAATTCTACTATTATTACAAATACAAGCTTTCGGCCGCGACTCCGTTTGCGTGGAATTTAAGAAAAAGTGAGTAGTCTATGTGTTCTTCCAGACTATCCTCTACATCTATACGAAATTTCATCGAGATCTGTTCAGCTATTTAGGCTACAAACTCTAACAAACATCCATCCATCTAAACTTTCGCACTTATAATATTTGTATGATTAGAGTAGAGCCCGATTCATAAATTGATCGAAGTATTTTAATACGAATCGTATCTAAAAATAAAACAAAGAGAGAATTTGGATTTACAAAAGACATCACGGTAAAATGACGCCTCGTTTGGTTGAACATATGCAAAACATGCTCTACAAAATCTGCGAACCGAGGAGCGACGCCATTCAATGAATTTAGATTGAACTCGCCGGACAATCCTTATTTATACGTTAGAGACAAAATATTTCTGTCGTGTGAAATATAAAAATAGCATCATACATTATTTTATTACAACTTTCAATTTTACTAATATTATAAGTGTGAAAGTTTGGATGAATGAATGTTTGTTAGATTTTGAAGCCTCAAAGGTTGAACGTATCTGGATGAAATTTGGCATAGACTAATATTATAAATGTGAATGTTTGGATGGATGGATGTTTGTTAGAGTTTGTAGCCTAAAAGGCTGAACGTATATCGATATAATTTGGTATAGATGCAGAGGATAATCTGGAAGAACACATAAGCTACTTTCTTTGGTTTTATTAATACCACGAGGACAGAGTCGCGGGAGGAAGCCAGTACTTTATAAGATACTCATATAATACTTTACGCAAATTATTATATAACTATTTAGCAATAAGTCTCGCCCGCGACTTTGTCCGCGTAGAATAAGTAAAAAACAAAAGTAAGTTTTCTTCCAGACTATACTCTACATTTACTTCAAATTTCATCAAGATCCGATCAACAGTTTAGACGGCAATCTCTAACATCCATCTAAACTTTCGCATTAATATTAGTAAGATTCATTAAGAAATGTACTAACATTTGACGATATATTTTTTAACCGTCTCGTTTGTCAAGACGATGCTATTGTAAGTTGGCTTCGTGCCCGCTTTCGATAATTCTTTCACACATAAATACAAGTGTAATAAAACATAAACACTTTCGTAAATAATGGTGTACGTGAGGAAATTAAGGAAAGGAACACAATCGGACAATAGTATTGAAAAAATACTTCTTGGCAAAATTATGAGGTTAAAAGAATTGTTAGCATGCGTAACACAATTGAAGTACAAAATTAAACAGAAAATGTTCACTTACATATCTTAAAACAATCTAAATTAAGAGTTAATTCGGAATTATACCATAATAGTGATTACGTTTTCGTGTACGTGAAATAAAAATAGTAATAAATATAACCTATGTTAGCATGACAACGTAGCTTTTTATGAGTGAAAGAAATTTTTAAATCGGCCCAGTAGTTTTTTTTTTATATTATAAGGTGGCAAATTAGCAAGCGGCCACCTGAAACTGCCGGAATGGCGAAGGGACCGCTGCCCAGATATCCGCAAATGCAAATGCGTTGCCTACTGTACATCTCCACCGTTATCAACTTTTTTTTCCTATCTCTTCCTCTTAAAAAGAGGAAAGGGAAGGGGACTAAAATGAAGCCTTACATATTCAAAAAGCATTAGTATGTTTAAAAGATTTTCTATTCGTTTTTCATGTTACAAAAAATATGCTTAAATTACATTTACAAAATTTCAATATCAAACCAACCCTCTGTATGAAAAATAACAACAATCTAGCAAATAAATAGTCCTCGTAGAGCATGGCACGTTCGAGCAGCGAGTTCGCTCAGTTCATACGACATGTTTCCCTTTGAATTAATAAGTTCCATTTATTATATCGTATGGTGCACTGCATGCATATTTTATTTTAAATTGTCCCGTGTTTGATTTCAATTGAAATGTTACAACGGATTTGTTTTTTCATACCAACTGGAATACAACAGTGGTAGTGCCCGCTTTAACATCTTAACACTGCAGGGCCGGAACGCCCCCAGTAATACCACGACCACACAGGAGACAGGCGTAAAATGGAAGCAATTCCGTGTCTCGTCTGATGAGTGTGGTGCCGGAGGCCTATTTTAAGTTAGTTTCTCTTTACTATCCTTTTCTTATAAAGAGAGGATGGGAAGGGAAAGTAGATTTGACGGTGGAGGAGATGCATAGGAAGGGGAAATATCCTCTTTATGTGCGTCTCCTCCTCCGTCGGATAAGGGTAGGCAACGCATCTGCAATTGCGGATGTCTATGGGCTGCGGTCGCTTCGCCATTTTGACGGATTCAGGTGGCCGCTTGCTCGTTTGTCACCTTATATTATAAAAAAAAATACGCAATGAATTCTAGGACATAATTACCTATGACTTTGTTTTATTATTTTCTTACTGTTTATGCCAGCTCTTAGATTGGAAAGATTGCACACTGTTTATAACGTCTAGCTTTTACCCGCAACTGCGGTCGTTCGCAATTATAAACTTGTCGGAGTGACGAGTGGTTCGTAGAATTCAATTCCGAAGGTAGACGGTAACGATCTTCTATTGTTCTATTGATTCTATAATGAACTAACAATCGCGTAATATTAGAAACACCATCATTAGTTGACCATCATCTTATTTAATACTAGCCGTTCCCGTGCGACTTCATCCGCATAAAATTATGAACAATCTATTTTGTTGTTTACATGTGTCAAATTATCAATTGCAAATGTCAAAATGACATGACATTATAACAAACCATGGAACCTTGCTTCCTTGATGTTGACAGCAACTTATGGTCTCTATCCAACATTAGGGTTTTTATCCAAAATATTTACCCCCTAAGTTTAATGCCGTGAAATATATAGCCTAAAGCGTGACGTAAGTGTAGGGCTTTTTATTATTAAAAAGAATTTTTCAAAAATATTCTGTAATTGCTGACATCTTAGGCGACAAAGATGTGTGTGTTTACGCTTTATTGTAATAGTATAGAAGTATAGATAGACACAAGATCCTCAATTACGACGGCAGACATCAATTACTAAAGAAAACCTGTAAATGATTGGAAAATATTAATCAATCTTTACCAGAAGACATAAAAATTCAAACACGATCACTTGAATTGCTATCTTAGAGCGCAACTTTGACTAAACTATCGCACAACTGTACAGTTGCGCTTTGATTCCTATGAGTTTACATGGAGGTGCGCACACTACTCGATTTTTAGTTGTGCAACTAAACAGTTGAAGCTAGAAAACAATCGACAATCGCACAACGGTTATGCGATAGTTTAGTCAAAGTTACGCACACTCTTAACGTTACCCTATTTGCAATCGACAGTTTAAGAGAATTGATGATAGATGGCCTCAGTAAAGCGAAGGGGGATTTCAATCATTAATCCTAGAAGCGGAATGTTGATGTCAGAGACATGCGTTATAACGAATGGGTTAAGAATTGATGGCCATTGATTTGATTATTGCTGAAAGAGATAATTCTGATTATTTCAAATAAAATTTATCACTATGTACTATTTCGAGAATGTAATTCGTTAATACTACGGCAAATATTTTGACTTTAAACCTGCTTACTGGAGCAAGGAGGTGTTGCCACTAAACTTGACAGATATGCAAAATGTTTCGCATTGCTATATGGGCTATTATAGTAAAAGTCAATACAACAACCGTATCCATTAATTTTTCGCCGGTTGATTTTAGTATACCGGAAATGAGGTCGATAAATGTATTTAAAATTAAATAAGTT